ACCATATGATCATCTCAATAGATGCAGAAAAAGCATTCGACAAAGTACAGCATCCCTTTATGTTCAAAAAATTAGAAAAACTAGGGATAACAGGAACTTACCTCGACATTGTAAAAGCTATCTATGCTAAGCGTCAGGCTAGCATCATTCTCAATGGAGAAAAATTGAAGGCATTCCCCCTAAAATCTGGAACAAGACAGGGATGCCCTCTATCACCTCTTCTATTCAATATAGTTCTCGAAACACTGGCCAGAGCAATTAGACAGACGAAAGAAATTAAAGGCATAAAAATAGGAAAGGAAGATCTTAAATTATCACTATTTGCAGGTGACATGATTCTATACCTAGAAGACCCAAAAGGGTCTACAAAAAAACTACTAGAACTAATAAATGAATTCAGCAAAGTGGCAGGATATAAAATCAACACGCATAAATCAAAGGCATTTCTGTATATCAGCGACAAAACTTCTGAAACGGAAATGAGGAAAAACACTCCATTCACAATATCCTCAAAAAAAATAAAATACTTGGGAATCAACCTAAGAAAAGAGGTGAAAGATTTATACAATGAAAACTACAAAACCCTAAAAAGAGAAGTAGAAGAAGATCTTAGAAGATGGAAAAATATACCCTGTTCATGGATAGGCAGAACTAACATTATCAAAATGGCGATATTACCAAAAGTTCTCTATAGGTTTAATGCAATGCCAATCAAAATCCCAATGGCATTTCTTGTAGAAATGGACAAAGCTATCATGTAATTCATATTGAATAATAAAAGACCCAGAATAGCAAAAGCAATTCTAAGCGGGAAGTGCGAATCAGGCGGCATAGCGATACCAGACTTAAAACTATATTACAGAGCAATAGTAACAAAAACAGCATGGTACTGGTACCAAAACAGGAGGGTGGACCAATGGTACAGAATAGAGTACACAGAGACTAAACCACAAAGCTACAACTATCTTATATTTGATAAAGGAGCTAAAAGCATGCAATGGAGGGAGCATAGCATCTTCAACAAATGGTGCTGGGAAAACTGGAAATCCATATGCAACAAAATGAAACTGAATCCCCTCCTCTGGCCATGCAGAAAAGTTAACTCAAAGTGGATCAAGGAGCTAGATATCAAATCAGAGACCCGGCGTCTGATAGAAGAAATAGTTGGCGCCGATCTACATATTGTAGGGTCGGGCTCCAAATTCCTTAATAGGACACCCATAGCACAAAAGTTGATAACAAGAATCAACAAATGTGACTTACTTAAACTGAAAATTTTTCTCTCAGCAAGAGAAACAATAAAAGAGGTAAATAGGGAGCCTACATCATGGGAACAAGTTTTTACTCCTCACACTTCAGATAGAGCCCTAATATCCAGAGTATACAAAGAACTCAAAAAATTAAACAATAAGAAAACAAATAACCCAATCAACAAATGGGCCAAAGACCTGAACAGACACTTCTCAGAGGAGGACATACAATCAATTAACAAATACATGAAAAAATGCGCACCATCTCTAGCAGAGAAATGCAAATCAAAACCACCCTAAGATACCATCTCACTCCAGTAAGATTGGCAGCCATTATGAAGTCAAACAACAACAAGTGCTGGCGAGGATGTGGGGAAAAGGGTACTCTTGTACATTGCTGGTGGGACTGCAAACTGGTGCGGCCAATCTGGAAAGCAGTATGGAGATTCCTGGGAAAGCTGGGAATGGAACCACCATTTGACCCAGCTATTGCCCTTCTTGGACTATTCCCTGAAGACCTTAAAAGAGCATACTACAAGGATACTGCCACATCGATGTTCATAGCAGCACAATTCACAATTGCTAGACTGTGGAACCAACCCAGATGCCCTTCAATAGATGAATGGATAAAAAAAATGTGGCATTTATACACCATGGAGTGTTACGCAGCACTAAAAAATGACAAAATCATGGAATTTGCAGGGAAATGGATGGCACTAGAGCAGATTATGCTTTGTGAAGCTAGCCAATCCCTAAAAAACAAATACCAAATGTCTTCTTTGATATAATGAGAGCAACTAAGAACAGAGCAGGGAGGAAGAGCAGGAAGAAAAGATTAACATTAAACAGATACATGAGGTGGGCTGGAAAGGGAAAGAAAAGGGAAATTGCATGGTAATGGAGGGAGACCCTCATTGTTATACAAAATTACATATAAGAGGTTGTGAGGGCAATGGGAAAATAAACAAGGAGAGAAATGAATTACAGTGGATGGGGTAGAGAGAGAAGATGGGAGGGGAGGGAGGGGGATAGTAGAGGATAGGAAAGGTAGCAGAATACAACAGTTACTAATAGGGCATTATGTAAAAATGTGGATGTGTAACCGATGTGATTCTGCAATCTGTATTTGGGGTAAAATTGGGAGTTCATAACCAACTTGAATCTAATGTATGAAATATGATATGTCAAGAGCTTTATAATGTTTTGAACAACCAATTAAAAAAATAAATTAAAGTGAGTTTCTTATGGCACAAAAAAAAAAAAAAGAAAAAAAAAAGAAATTGAAGGCAGGTCGCGGGTCCTACATAATCCAGACTGCCCTGGCTCCTCCCAAGCAGAGTGAAGCACCAGCGTTTGTGGGTCTTGAAATAAACAGACCCTCAGGCTTGAACCTCAACACAGCATATCCTAGAAGTTAGTGTAATTTGAATTCAAGACAAATGATGTTGAACACCAGTCATGCTAAATACCGGTCTGCATTTTGGATCACATTACTTAACCTGGTAGCCCTTTATTTTTCTGTTCAGCAAAAATAGAGCCTGAGATAGCTGTTTGGTTGAACCTTATGAAATTGCTTTTTTTTGTGAAAAGCAAAATGCTCAAGTATTACAATTTTATGTGCTTCAATCTATTACTCCCAGAGTAATTATGAAATTTTTTAGTGGAGAAACCCATATAAAGTATTTGGCCTGTTATTTCAGAGTAGTAGTAACAGGAAGCCATTATTATCTATATGATTTCCACCCTAAGCTCTCCTTATTTCTTTTTTTTCTTTTTATTTATATATGACAGCAGAATGCATTGCAATTCTTATTACACATATAGAGCACAATTTTTCATATCTCTGGTTGTATACAAAGTATATTCACACCAATTTGTGTCTTCATACTTGTACTTTGGATAATAATGATCATCACATTCCATCATCATTATTTCACATGTAACACTAACACCTATAAAAAGAAGGCATTGGTCACTTATTTGGATTTCTAAAGTTAAATCAGAAATTCTAAAATAAAGAATTTCAGACTGAATGATCAGTACACAGGGATCATCAGCATTTTACTGTTAGTGGGTTTACTGCAATCCTGCCTTATTCAAGTTTTGCACTGCTGTGGCACTTGTACCTCTCAGTGTATGTGCTGTGTGTTTCAATTCTGCACATCAAATATCAGTTTTTAAGCATTTACCCATTCACACGTATTTTTGAACCTATTACCTAGGTTATATTATATTTACATTCATTTGCATTTTTTAGAAAATTAAAGAGAAATTATAATTGTAAAAATTAAGAGTCTTGGCATGACTATTTTCATGGATATTTGATTCACAAACATACTAGCTTATGCCAGTAGATTTTCCTAAAGGATCAGACTCTCTTTCTAATCAAAAAGTTTAAGAACTCAAAAGAGATTTTTAAATAGAGAAAAGTAGCTTGTTGTCATTGTCTGAAACAAATCTAACAGCTGTTTGTCAACCACATGATAGGAAAATATGTCTATTTTCAGTGGTAACTACTTCTGGTGGTACTTTTAAGAGACAAGTCTCTAATTTGGAATAGGAAGAATGGAAATGGCAGGACGCTGTCTGACCACCTGGACTGAGGTTTGGAAACAAAGTTGGAAATACATGTTATGCTTAGCATGGCTTCAGGCAAAAGTTTTATATTTCCTTTTCACCAGCTACACATGTCCAAGTTTGGCTGCAAATTGAAGACTCCTGGTTAACAAGAACAGGGGGTATATTAAATCTTATTGTTTTCTGAATCTGAATCCCATAAAATCTCAGAAAACCAATGGTACTGGCTATTTTAATTTCAAGGCTAGAAGTCAATGAGCATGATGGAAAAATCAAAGAGTTGGTTCTGGCATCTGGGGGCTAGGAAGTCATCTGTTAGAACAAGGGAAATGAAGCATAAACTTCATCTCCAACATTATGTATGAAGTATTAGGACCTGGGCTTGACCACTGATGATCACTGTAAATTAGAGATTTGAATCCATAGCCTACCCTGAAGTGCACCTGCTCCCATGGCCCTTCAAGCAAAGGTTGTTTGCTGTTAGTAACATTTTTTAAAAATTTCTTTGGTTGTCATCTTTCCTCTTAAATTTAATGAAGTCTATTTATCCTAAAATCTACAAAAGATGCCACAGTAATGCTTATGTTTTCTTAATAGAGGAAATGGAACACTAAAAAAGGATGATGGATGATTCTTTAATGACTACATCTGAAGGACTTGAAGGGAGGTCTGTGCTTAAATCATAAGGCTTATGAATTGCCGGCTGAAGATAAGACTTTAAATAGCAATCCAGTCATTCGTATACAAGAAAGTTCTTTGGTCCTCTTCCTAATGCAATCTACAAATAATAGATTCCAATAATAATGAGTAGGAATACATTCACTTTCATTTTCTCCCCCTTGCTGGAACCTACTTGGAGATTGCTATCGTCCTTGAACTGGACTCAGCTATCCAGCATTCCCTATGGTCTGGCGTCTAGCAAAGGATGTAGCCCTCCATGTCTGGGCTTGCTCTCTACATGACAGTAGAATCTTCAGCTCTTTTCTAAACTGAAGATTCATGTATTCTTTTGGACTAGGAAGTTACAATAAAGCTCACTGTGGACTTGCTTATTTATGATGAATCCCTATATATAAGATTTCTCTAGGTCAGGGGGAATAACACCTATTTTTTTGTTTTCTCTTTAAAGAAAAAAACTATTCATTAACTAGAAGAACCCAAGCAATAGTTGTTCTAACAGCGAACAAGTCTATCTTCTGTCTTCTAAAATAGAAACATACAGATTAACTGGTGATAGAAATTTCAAAATTAAGGACTATTACTTGAATAATTTTCAACTTTTATGATTTTTCATTTGTGGTGTTTAAAATTCCTTATAAAAGGAACATTAATGTCCAGGAATCCTGTGAAGCTCTACTTTTCAGGGAGAGAGAATTTGCCCTTTTCCCCACATTATAATATCTTCCCTTCACTTGCTAATGTCCTGTTCAGATCTTTCTTTTTTCCTGCTCTGTGCTGGTGGAAAGTATCTGGAGAAATTTCCTTAGCCGGTTACCAGCTGAAACTTTGACTTAGGGCTTCTAAATTCACAGATGTTTTTATCACCTATATTAGCAAATGTGGCAATGAAAAAGTCAGGTCTCTGTGGATGGTATGTTGGAAGGTGGCTGTCAAAGCTTCTTGGAAATCATGTGGATGAGAGATTGCTTATGGACATGCTGAGTCTGGAACGTCACTTACACAACTCTGTCGCGACCCCTTGCCCGCAAGGAAGACGCAACTCGAGAATCTTCTTTCAGCAGTTTATTCAGGCCCTTGATATTTCTTCTTCTCCCTCTCGGATGCCCCTCCCAGCCTTAATAAAGCATCCCAAGCCCCAATGCAAAGCTGCCGCGTGGAGCTTTCTCACAGGGTGGTGAAAAATCATGTGCCAACTCTCCCAGACAAGGAGTTGTTTGTCACAGACCACAGCGGAGCCAGCGTCATCTTGTAATGGCGACCATAATCTGCAGAAACGGCAGAAGCGGCTCACCACAGTTCCCCCTTTTCTGTTTTATTAAAACAATACAGGCGAGCGTAGAGGTCCTATCCCACTGTGCAGAAGTGGCTGCATAGTATGACTCAGTCCTAAGGAGGCGCCTTCCCCAGATCTGAAGCCATATCAGCCGACGCCTTTTTTCGTGGGGCGGGGCGTGAACGCGTCTAACCCGCATGCAATAGGACATGCTCTCCTTGAGGTCCTCGTCAAGGATCACTCAAGTGCAGTGCCTTGCCTCGCATCCTGTATCGTGACGATGGTGGACGAAGGGGGATAGCTGAGGCTGAACTGTGGCTGTTTATAATGACAAACAAGTTGACAGCACCCTGAAAGAAAGGCACGAACTTCAAGGCGATAGAAAAGTACTAGTGTGGAAACCCATCTGCGTGCAATGGCAGTAAGACCGGCAGAGTGCAAGGGCTTTCCAACACTAAGAGAATAACAAGGAAAGTCATGTCGATCCCAGTGCAATGTTATAATAACTTGGGGTGTAACGACCATGACAAAGGTTTACTGCTTAAGATGCGCAAGCCAGACTTGAGGTGAGTTGCCATTTTCTAAAGCTGCAAGAGCTTGTATGATCATAGCCTTTTCTTGTGCATGGCGAGTTTTAAGGCGACAGAGAAGCCACAAACAGAGCACAACACTGAAGCAACACATTGCACCAAAAATGCCTACTCCCACCCACTCTTTGAAGAAGGAAAAAGCAGAAGATATCCAATCGGTGAATTGACCCAAAGTCACTGGTTCGACACGGGTACTATTCAAAACAGCAATCTGAGTTAGTTGAGACTGGATCAAGTTTTCTGCTTCCATGGACCAGGTTCCGGATGGATACTCCCCGATGATGTGGGAGGCATTTCTGGAATCATAAAATCTGACAGAGGTTATACATAAATGTGCACGTTGATCAATACAACCCAAATGTACTAGATCAGACAATTCCTCAACTTGAGCTTGAAGCAGATCTATCCTTTGATTAGCAGCCAGAATCCCAGATAAAATGTGTTGATTAATTCTACTTTGAGACTCAAGTATGGTGGATGTTTGTTGAATAACCTGATTAATAGTGGCAGCAGTTTGTACCTGGCTGGCCATGGCTACTCCAGCTATAACTGCTGCAGCAGCAGACACCGCCACAGCTGTCACTATGGCTGCCGTAATGTCAAAATCTCTATGGGCTCTAATCAGTTCAACAATAGGAAAAGACTCTGGATCTGCAGTAACCGGGATCGGGACAAAGGTTGGAAATTTCATAACCATTGCCGTAGTCCAGGAGCCATTCCAACACTCAGACAAATAACAGGTAATATTAGAACAATTAAGCATCCCCTGTAATGTAACATTAGCCAAAAGAAACAGGAACGGAGATTGGAGACAGACTGCTGCGGAGGGTAATGTAGCATTAAACAATTGTGAATTATTTGCAGAAATTTTAAGCCTCCTACCTCATTCCGAGTCTTGGGTACTGCCAGAAACATTAAACAGCCAACTTTGGACTCCTAATATTTCCCTGGGGAAACACAAGCGCGGACTAGACTAGCCCAATCTGAGGGAGTCATGCAAAATCTAGTAAGTCCCTCCACCTGAGTGAGAGTGAAAGCGGCATCTATGCCATAAGTGCGGACAGATTCTGCCAAGGTTTTAATTATCTTAAAGTCTAAAGGCTCATGATATCTTCCCCTGTTATTGTCCTGAAATACAGGGTATGCAAGTCCCATATCTGTATTAACTGTCCTCCAAACTTGTGCATGAAAAGATCTCCCGGAACCTTGGCTCCCCCCCACATACGGAGGTGGGGCAATCGGCACCATATCTTCTTCTAGATATTCTACCTCCTCCTCCTCAGAGTTTTGTTGACCGATGTTAACTCCCTTCCCCTTCTTACAGTAGGCCTGCGTGCCCTGTGTCTCCTTTTTCTTCTTTTTCATTTTTATCTTATGTAGTTGTTGTAACAATATATCAAGGTCCTCAGAACTCTCTGAGTCGCTTGTGTTCTCAGGCGTTTTTAATTCGGTCAAGTCTGGGTAGAGCCTTCTCCTATTTTTATCTTCAGGCTCTTTTGCCTTCTCACTACTGTTACTTTTAATACTCTCTGCCACTTCACTACATGATCCTTCAGATTTTTCCTCATGCAATTGCTCAAGAATAGCTTGACCCTCACTCACAGCTTCCTGGCATTTACCATCTGTAAGGCAACCACGGACCATTTTCCAAAGGGGTATCACCCCACCCTCTAATATGCCCTGCTCAGAAGCAAAGTCAAGATCTTTGCCTAATTTATCCCAACTAGGCACAGTAAGGCTGCCCGAAAATGCAAACCACGGTGCAGCGATATCTATCTTCTGTAAAAATCTCTGTAAAGTACTATGTTTCACTTCCAGTCCCTTGGAACGTAACAGGCCATCTAGGGCCAGGAGAAGCGGACTTGAAGATGCGGCACCCATGACACAACAACAAAGGAAGCACAAAAAAAAGAAAGCGAAAGTAGAAGCGAAAGTACACAGTGCAGCTGCAATAAAATGTAAGGCTCTCTCTTTCATTACAGAGGAGCTGTCCCGCTTTGGTCGCGGATCCCACTTACTAGGGACTAACCCCGCTTTGATCGCGGATCCCACTTACCTGGGACTAACCCCGCTTTGATCGCGGATCCCACTTACCTGGGACTAACCGGTGCACCACCCCTGACTGTTGAAAGTTCTGGTTCCCGGGTCTCGGCGCCACTTGTCGCGACCCCTTGCCCGCAAGGAAGACGCAACTCGAGAATCTTCTTTCAGCAGTTTATTCAGGCCCTTGATATTTCTTCTTCTCCCTCTCGGATGCCCCTCCCAGCCTTAATAAAGCATCCCAAGCCCCAATGCAAAGCTGCCGCATGGAGCTTTCTCACAGGGTGGTGAAAAATCATGTGCCAACTCTCCCAGATAAGGAGTTGTTTGTCACAGACCACAGCGGAGCCAGCGTCATCTTGTAATGGCGACCATAATCTGCAGAAACGGCAGAAGCGGCTCACCACACAACTCTTCTCTTCTACCACTTTATTTTGTTGGGACAAGGAAAACTTACTTGAAACACAAACTAATATATTAGTTTGTGTTTCAAGTAAGTATATATATATATATATATATATATATATATAATTTTTTAAAAGTCAGAATTAGAACAGTAGTTATGAAAGTCAGAACAGTAGTTCAGTTTTGATTATTATTTTCCTGACTTATAAAAGAAAGCATGTATTCATGAACTGAATTCATTCGCACAAATATCAAGACTGTATTGTTTTGCTAGAGAGCTCAGATTATTCCTGGCCATGAAAGTCAAATTGACTACAAAATTTACAATTATTGAGAACTGAATTCTTAGTCTTTCTATTGTTAATATATGAGTAGGAAGAATAAAAAATACTTATAACTAGATGCTCAGATATTGGAAAGCACAAGAAACTCCATTTTGAAATCATAGGTGCCAGAGTAAACTCTTTTCTCTGAATGTGGAAACAGGTTAATGGATCATTCAGCCATGGTCAAGGAGAAACATCCCTGGATGGAGTTAAACAGGCAACGTACCTTTATTCAGCACTATTGCAAAAGAAGAGACTGAACTCAAATCTATTGAAACAAAATATTGAAGTATATTTTTAAATAGGGGTGAGCTAGTTAAAAAAGTACCAGTGAAAGTTAGTGGGAGTTTGGTCAAAGTGTTAAGTCCATCTATTGTTTGTAAATTGTTGCTATGGAATTTAGAAGTTAGGTTCCTGGTTTCCCACAGGGACAGGAAAGAGAAATTCTATCTTCCTTAATGATGGTGATGATGATGATGATGATGATGATGATGATGATGATGATGACGACAATGACAATGACTACATTTTAAAGAAATGGCTCCCAGGTCTTTGAGAAAGATATTCCTGAGTTTTAACACTTGCAAGGTGCTTTTATGATTTATACCCAAAAGGGGAAGAGACAAAATTGTCAATTAGTAAGCGTTTTAAAGTAAATGCATGAAGAAAATGAAGTATTCTAAAACAACCACTTGAAGAAAATGGATTTCAGGGTTCTACAGGCATGAATAAATCTGTCTAAAATTTAGTCAAGCTCATGGTATCCTTAAGACCATCTTAATCACAATTACACCAATGAAAGTCACAGCCAGGGCAATTATCTTAGTGTCAAATTATCTAAACTGCCTGCCCAACTCAACTCTTAAGGACTAATATATCTGTTCACTTCACAAAAACAAAAGTTTTGATACCTCACCTCAAATATTTAAATGTGCTAAACTCAAATTATTTTTATTATGATTAGAGATGCTCTTTCAGTAGCAAAGTATTTTATGAAAATTTTTGGGGGGTGTCCATTAGAGTTTGATGTGGTTATATCATGTTTGTATGATTTGAAATATTTTTTAAAGTTTTCTTAAATGAAATTATTTTACTTTATTTTATTTTTTATGTAATTTTTTTATTTATAGGCAGCAGAAAGCATTACAATTCTTATTACATATATAGAGCACATTTTTTCATATCTCTGGTTGTATACATCGTATTTTCACACAATTTGTGTCTTCATACATGTACTTTGAATAGTAATGATCATCACATTCCATCATCATTAATTAATCCATGCCCCTCCCTTACACTTCAACCCCTTTGCCCTATCTAGAGTTTGTTTATTTCTCCCATGCTCCCTCTCCCTATCCCACTATGAATCAATCTTCTTATATCAGAGAAAACATTTGGCATTTGTGTTTTTTGGGGATTGGATAACTTCACTTAGCATTACCTTCTCTAACTCTATCCATTTACCTGCAAATGCCATGATTTTATTCTCTTTTATTGCTGAGTAATATTCCATTGTGTATATATGACACATTTTTTTTTATCCATTCATCTACTGAAGGGCATCAATAAGTGGACTCAAACTACAAAGCTTCTTCTCAGCAAAAGAAATGATCTGTGAGGTTAATAGAGAGCCTACATCTTGGGAACAAACCTTTACCCCTCACACATCAGATAGAGCACTAATCACTAGGGTATATAAAGAACTCAAAAAGCTAAACACCAAAAAAAAAAAAACAAATATTTTTAAAAGTTTTAAACATTGCCATTAACACAGATTTTAAAGAGTATTTGATGATGATATCCATGAAAACAAAAAAGAGATAAGGATGGAAGTCAGTGAATGATCTTGATAAACCATCTCTGATTTGGTTAGTGAACTCCAGGAACAGCAAAGATGATTTGATGCTCAGTAATAAAAACTGCATCATAGACTGTGTTTTAGTCAGCTTTTTCCCTGCTATGACCAAAACACCTGACAAGAACAATTAAAGGAGAATAAGTTTATTTTCAGGCTCATGGTTTCAGAGGTCTCAACCAGTTCCAGTCGTCAGGGCTAACAATGAGGCAGAATATTATGGTGGAAGAGTGTGGTAGAAGAAATCAGCTCAGGACATTATCAGGAAGTAGAGAGACACTTCAATTGCCAAATACAAAATATATAACCCAAAGTCATGTCCCCAATGCCCACCTCCTCCAGCCACCCCCTACCTGCCCCTAGTTACTATTGAGTTAATCTCTCTCAGGGATTAATTTACTAATTGAGTTAAGGCTTTAATAATATAATTATTTTACCTCTGAATGTTCTTGCATTGTCTCACACATGAGCTTTGTGAGGGACATCTGATATCCAAACCATAACAGACTGTCAATATAGAAATCTTCCCAACCAGCTTCACAGAGGTTCTCCAGCCAGAATTACCCTAAAATTCTTCATGTACATGAGTGTTCAATTCACCCATAGTCTATGCACATATATATAGTCCTATAGAATTGCCTCACATTTGATTTCAAAGACACCAGGATGGTCTTCTTTGTCAAAATACTATCTCCTATGCACAGAATTCCCCAGAAGAAAACAACACCATTAATGAGTACTCATTTTTGCAATTTTTAGGTAATTGTCTATCTTTTCTTAGAACATGTTTTAATGGTTATGCCTGGTCATGTTTGGTTCTCTTGGTCTGCTAGTCTGTAGTGAGAGCAGTCAGTGAACTGCATTCCCCGTTCTCTCTCCCTTTAGTGCAGTACACAAGATTCTCTCTGCCTGTCTAATCTCTTTCACAAATTAATAGAGATCGTTAGGTATTTTACACATCAATGCAAAATGTTTTCTTACATCTTCCTTTGCTATTCCCAGTGATATTCTAAAGTTATTTTTTACCTCTTCTGTCCATATGCAAATCACTAGTCATTTCAAAATCCTCAAATAGGACTTTTCACATCATGACAAATATCTGTCTGGTAGATAAATGCATTCAAACCTCATTTTTGTTGGCATATAAAGTAAAATCTAATTATTTAGTATTAGAAACTTCTTACACACAATCTGTGCTGATCTACAGAAAAAATATTCAATTTTAATGTCATGATCTAAGTTCATATTTTCCAAAATAGAAATATAAAATTATCTTCTAGATGTAAATATCAAATGTTATTATACATTTTTGCATATACACACACTTGTGTGTGTTTGTGTGTGTTTGTGTGTGTGTGTGTGTATGTGTTAACAAAGATTCTTTCCTTGGCCAAAATTTAATCAGCCTTCTCAACTTCTCCTAGGCCCATCTGTAGTTTCTTGCAAAACTAAGTTTTAGCAATCTCTGTTAAGTCAACCTAGCAAGAACATCCCACCCTCAGTCACTCTAAATCTGAGATCATTTCCTCATCCTCTATCCTCTAGGCAATGCCTCTTCATGCTGGGCTGTCTTTATCAAGAATCATATTAACTATATTTGGCTGGAATTCCCCTTACCCTTGATGTATCTGCTTAGTAATTTCCCATTCACTGAATCTTCCCACCTGGTCCTTGGATATGAATTTTCACTTGCCCATCTTGTATTTAGTCTTGAGCACAATCTCTTGCCTCCCTTTTCCTCACTGCAAGACCTTAATGCACTGGTTCCTATATCTATTGTGATGGTCTTGAATAAAGTCTCCTTTAGCATGCATCAACAAGTATCACATAATATTTTTCTTTGAAAGTACAGATTGGTGAGTACATACACACACACATACACACCACATTGCTTAGCCTAGTATTTGGGTTTTGCTAAGAATTTAATATATTTTAGGTATAACAATTGTTTTTCTTGTTATTATTATGCACCATGATTTGGATAAGTATTCCCCAAAGTTCCATGTGCTTGACACCTGAGTTATGGCACTATGAAGAGTTAATGAAAACTTTAAGAGATGGGACCTAGTAGGAGGTCTTTTAGTCATTGAAGGAATTCCCTTAAAGGAAATAGTGAGACCCCAAGTCTCATTCTCTTCAGGATATGAAAGGAGAGGATTTTCTCTACCATGTGTTTCTGCCATGATATGCTTCCTCACTACAGGCCCAAAGGAACGGAAATCTCCAAAACTATGAGCCCAAATAAACTTTTATCTTTAAGTTAATTATTTCAGTTTTTTGTTATAGTGTCAGAAAGTTAACTAACAGACTATTAGTTTTAAAATTGCTAATCCTAGATGTTTTCTTATCAGGATAACTAATAAATGTTTCAAAATAGAACTTGAAAAAAGAAAATGAGTAGAGAGATGGCATTCCAGACTCATAGTGTTGGAATGTGAAAAACATAATGTCGATGTACAAAATGGTGATGCTTAGTTTGGTGAGATCATGCATTTGGCAAGGCAGCAAAGAGAGAGATGAGTATTAGATATTTGCTATGGGAAATTTATGGAAGGGCTTTGAATCCAGGCTACACTACAGTCATTTTTGTTGTAAAGTTAAATGTCAAAGCCCTCTATTAAAATAATATATAAACTAATGAAGCTGTGTGCTGGAACAAATTAGTTATTAATTACTTCTGGTTAGGTTAATGTTTATGAGGGAAACAAAGAAAATGAATAAAATTTGGACTGGATATCAGACCATTCAATGAAATCTCTCAAGGTACAGGTGGTCAAGTTTGAACTGTATTAGAGGATAAGCCTGAGGTCCAGTGCTGCAGTAGGGGCATCTCACTGTCTCATGTGGAAACAACATCTTGAAAC